ATAATAAAAAAAAAAAAAAAAAAAATATAATAATAAATTAAGATTTACGACTAAGTTAATTCATTTTTAATAACATTTGTTATTAAATAAATATGGATGCTCATGAAACATTTAACTTCTATAATTGAATTTCCACATTATGTAATAAAATAATTAGCTTCAAAACTAATTTGAAATTATGACTAAATGAAACTCTCCATTTTAAAATAATCAATTAAACAATTTAATAGCATAGCAAATAATAAATAATAAAATTTATTTAATAATTCTATAAGAGCTATGTATATATAAATAAAGAATACATTATAATTAATAAGTTTATAATCCTTTACTCTAATTTCTAATTGTAATAATCGACAATTTGCATTGAATATGTTAATTACAATGCTTTTGAATTTATATCTAGACAGATTATATGTTTTAATAAATACACGTTATATTCTTAATAATTTTTTAAATAAAATATATTATATCGTGTAATTTTTCATATAAAAAACAATGGAGGGTATAATGTTAATAAATTAAAATTTAAATGAATTTTAAAGAGTTAATTTAAAAACTATAATAATTATATTTACATTAAAAATGATTTGATTCATTCATATAAATTTCAATATTCATAATCATCTTAATTCATAAGCTTAAAAAATTTCAATGACTAATTAAATATATCCATAAATAAACTTTAGTAATAGGAAAATAAATAATAAACGTTAAGAGTACAAACTATATTTAGCTTTAAATTATAAAATAATCATATATAATAATTATTTTATTTGAAATAAGACGTATTAGATCGATCATTTTATGGATGTAAATGTATTAAAAATTAAGAAGTTATAATTTATATGCCTACAGCATAATGTATTGTAATAAAATGAGTTTTTTAAATTACAATTACAACTTATTGCATATATTATGCAAATTAGATTTTTAGATAAATATAAATAAAATCTTATCGATGAGTAGTTTAAATTAGGCGATTTAATAAAGCATAAATTATAAACATTTTATAAATTATATTAAATATTTTGACCGATTATAAATATAATTCAGATTGTCTATATGTAAAGAGTCATTTTTATTATTAGCGCTTACATAAAAATACTCTTTTAGTAACTGTACAATTTTTCTTTATCGGTCTTATTCATTTTTTCATAATATTTGTATAATTCTGCCTAACATTATAGAATTTATATTTTATAGGATTTATAAAAGAATTAAAATTATGAAACTTTCAGATATAGTTAAAGTTATAGTTTCAAGATATATTGCACGTTTTTATTTCAATTGTGTGAATAATAATAATAACAGCGTTCACCTAGTCAATGAAATGATATTAGACTTTCTGAAAAAATATTTATAAAATATGCGCATGAAACTATAAAATAAACGGTTACGAAATTTACCATGTACATTGTGAATTTGTAATAACGTGCTCAAATATTTTACACATTTATATCGAGGAAATGTTAATGTTTCATTACCTTACGCTCATCTGAATTTTCTTGCACCAAATCATGCAAAGTTGTCATAACTCGTTTTCGTTGAAAATTTGTTTAAAAAAAAAAAAAAAAAACGAAGAAGTCCAGGCTATAAGGTTTCTCTGGTACGTATTTTCAAATGTCGTCGAAAAAGAAACAGAAAATGTGAATTCGTTCAGAGCTATGTGTCTCACATTATTTTATTTTCCTCTTAATAATTCACTCACAGTATCAAAACTTCAAATTAAATGTATATAAATAAATAAATAAATATATATATATATATAACTCGTTTGTTAAACAAAATTTTGAACACTTGTTCTTGGTTGCTAATCAGCGTCCCGACGCGAACCAATTTAGCAGGGGACCTTATAATTTGGAAGAAAAATATAATTGTCACTAACACTTATTCACAATTCACAACTTAATTGATCACACAAAGGTTTTCGAGCTTCTATCAAATATTCTCGATACTCTTTATCATAATTTCAAAAAGACATAAAATTCGGAAATACTTTTTACATGTGCGCACCCAATGTATCGTTGCTGCCGTGTGGTGCGCTTTGTTTCTTACGTCTTTTAACTTAACGGTTGCTTTTGCCGTTTGACAACTTCAAATCATGGAAGGCTGCCAATAAACGACGAGAATTCAAAATTTTGCGACGCTGCTGCTATCTGAGCTACTCCCGCCGATAATGTAGATAACCCATTATCACTTGATTCTCAAATTTATGCTGCGAGAATAAAAATTTCCTAATGTACATAGGAGATGCAAGTGAATTTGAGTGACTTTATAAAAAAGCCTTGGGGGGAAATTAAATCATAGCGGCACATATGATAAAATTAATTTATCTATCTTAGCATCAAAGTGGTTATAAAATTTAATAAAATTGCTTATTAAATCAAATATTTCCAACACAGATAATTTATTATCTTTTATTTAATAAAACATTTAATACGTACATGTTTAATGTACAATTATTTTAAATTGAATTATATTAAAAAATACAATAGTTTTACAAGTCATTGTAATATTTTTATTGTACACTTTTCAAAACGTAAATCAATTTTTACAATTTCTGTTATAAAAGGAAAATATATATATATATATTTTTTTTCTTTTTCTAATCGTTTATATTTTTTATTGTCAATCTCTCCTTATAAATGTGCATTAACTCTATTACAAAAGTTAATTACCAACACTCACGAATCAATATTTCATTACTTACATTTAATTCACATTCTCTTTTAAGCTCGCCTAAATAATTTTCGTATTTTTATTTACATAAAAAAAAAAAACACACGCGTGCATTCGCTCTGCTTTTACATAATAACGCGACGTCCTGCGTTAAAAGAAACTTAATGTATACAAGAAATAAAGAAAATACTATTCACAATGATGTCCTTTTTCCTTATCCATTAGGTAAAAACAATCTATGTAAGCGCACCGATGGCGGCAGGCACTTTTCTGCGTTAATTAAAAAAGAAAGAAAAACATTTAGAAGTTTTATTTTATTTGTTTTTTATTTAATTTTTCGTATTATATTTTTCAGTCCACTCGGACGGCGAACAATATTAACGACTCCAAGAGAAACTTATTCAGTAAACTTCTTTCAAGGCACTTATTCGTTTTTCGTTGGAGTCTCGCTCATCCAATCACAGAAATATGCGATTGCATCTCGCACAAAAACTAATTAATCGTTAAGCAATTTCACTTCACAGAAGCATTAGCGATGACTATCCATCAATTTGCCTTTAATATATACCAAGTAGATATCAAATATATCCGTTATGTACAGAAATAATATGTCGAAGGCGACTCAAGTTATCTAGCATTTAAAAATTATTTTTTTAATGATTAATTTTAATTTTTTTATATTTTATTTATTTTTTTTTTTTATTAGAGAATACTCTGTCACTATTACTAAGTGAAAAGCTATCTATAAAAAATAGTCAGTTTTTTCAGTTCTTTCAGTTAAACATTTCATCCTTAGAAATTCATACACTAAATTACTCCGGCAGCATATTAAAATATGCCCAATGCGCAAGAATTATTACAACGAAATGAAGTAATTTTAAGATAAGCAATTATCCCTATTTAGAAATACAAGTACATTACTAATTTATTTCATAAATTTATTTGAAACTACATTTTTTTATAGAAAATGATTGATGTAACATGTAACTATAGTTGTATGATTAAAATAGCTTACGCACCAAGAGAAGAATTTACTGTTAAAAAATATTAAATTTCGATGAAAAAAAAAAAAAAAATTAATATTAGTAGCAGTATTCGTTTAATATTCAAATTTTATACAAAAAATTAATTAAATAGTATTATGAACTATTGTAATAATTGATAAAGTACGAGGTATTTTTTTTAAAATAAATTACACGAAAACTATAAATTATGATAAAGCAATCTTGTATGAAATACTACTAAAATATATAAAATAATATAACATTATTACTATTCTAACATTTGCTTCATTACTTTCGTATAATTATATGCAATTGAAAACAATTTCTTTATTTGTTACATAAATCAATATTTCATTAATAAAATATAATTTTAGTAAATCTATGAAATAAATAAAGTAGAACTATCATTTTGTGGCGTTAATATAGTCCTGATAAAAAGTAATCTTTTGCTGAATTAAATATGAGTGGAAACGAGTCAGTTTCGTTTAACTTGTATAACTTTATACTTTTTCCTAGAATTAACATCTCAACCTAATAATCAATAATTCTCAATAATTTTTAATAATAATAATTTTAAAATGTCGTTACTATTCTTTACAAAATTACACAAATATGTAAAATAAATTTTTATATTCTATAATATATTCAATATTGCAAAAAGTTATTTTAATATCTATAAATTTACTATAATAAAATCATATTTTAGTAAAACGATGCATGAATTTGAACAAACTGTATTTTATCCTCATAAAAATATCGTATTACTGATGATGAATTCTTTTGTCTAGACACTATATGATTCGTTTAATAAAATATGTCGGAAATGTTTTTTAATTAAATTTAATAACATTTCAAACAGTGTGCATGTGCATCTAAAAAAGAAGCTTATTTCTCAAAATTTCTCAATTGAATAAGAGTAATAAAATGTACATTTGAATTTCATTTTCACTTTGGTAAAATATAAAGTAGTAGCCTGCTATAAGATACAGCAGATTTAATCTTAATACTTTCAAAGAAACGGAGGGAATAAAATAAAAATGATAAGAGTAAACGCTATTATCACGTATAAAGAATTCATTAAAAGAAATGACTCGCCATAAATCATGTTCAATTTCTCTTTACTAATGATCACTGCAGATCATGTAATTTTAGTATATTTCTACCAACGTATAATTGACTTCTGTAAAATTTCGAAAGTAGAAATGTTTATTAATTTTACAATTCACTTTGTAAAATTTGAATTAGTTTATTCTATGACACTTGTAATTGTTTTATATTACCTTTACAAGTATTATTTAATAACTTTTGCTCTAAATTAAGTAAATGACTGATATAGAAAGAGAAGGGAAAGAATTCCGATTAATATTTTACATAGTAATTTATAATATCAATCAACTTTTTAGCTAAATATAAAATTTCAACCTTATGCAAGCTATAACTCTTTCCAAAACAATTTCTCTCCGCTTCATTAATTCCTCGCAACGGAAAGTCAAACATACAACCTCAGCTGTTTGACTCAAAGCCAATAGGTCTCATTTGGCTATAAGGATTTCTTAAGGGCCAAAATCCCCAACCCGTGAATAACTTTTTGTATATTCAACAGGGGAGGGTGGAAGGCGAGAGGCGGATGAAAAGCATTAAGAAGACATTGAGTAACGAGTGCAAAAAGAGTCAGGATCGACGAACGTCGAAGTGGGTCACGCGTTATGTATAGGGCTCCATTTGTGGTGGTAGCCTCGGTGGCGTCGGTGAGTTCTTCTGACTACTCGAAGGCGGAGTGAGGATACCACTTTGATCTGGACTACTGCCAGAGTCCAAGATAGCCTCGAAGTCGAGACAGTCGGCAAGCAGGGCGTCGTGTGTATGCCGCTGTTGGGCGAGCTCCAGCATGTCCAGGTCTATTACGTGCGTCTGGATGCGATGGGATTCATCTACGACGATGTTGGGTACAGAGGCGCGAAGTCCTGAGCCTGAATTAGTATCGAGGAGTGGCACTGCCGAGCGTAACATTTGCTGGGCGCGTTCCTCTGTCACCGTTAGGGCAAACGAACTTAGCCACTTAGCACAGGGCGCAAGCTGCTCCCACGTCAGCCGCGACACCCTCAAAGCACATTCCCTGCCCTGAAACATTTCGATTCATTATAATTTAATCTTTTAACAATTTGGAGATGTAGAATAGGTCGTTTGCATATAAAATCTAATTAACACCTTGAAAAATGCTGTTTTTTTTCTTTAATCATTTTTTATTACTAATACTTTTAAAGATCTGATCTACATAATTGAATTATACATTCAAACTAATATGCGCAACTTATTGATTTTACATCATATAATATTATAATATATAAATTCTTTTAAATTATAAGTTATCTCATATGTAGGTCAATTAGAAGATAAATAATAAATAAATTATACTTACACAAAGATGATGAATTTTTTAGAAACTTTTTTAATTTACCGTATAAAATGCTTATTGTATATAATAATAGATACATAAGAAAAGTTTTTACTATCGCATTTTGTATAATAAATCGATTTTATCGTTATTTGACCTTATTATTTTTAGCATACTTCGAAATTATTCAATTACTTGGACAATGTTAGCCTATCAATAAATAATTAAATTTTTATTTGAAATAAATACGAAATAAAATATGGTATTTAAAATAAATAAAAAAAAAAAATTATGTATAGAATATTGCTAATCGTTAAAAGATACTTGAAAAAATATATAAAATAACACTTAAATTATATTATATAAAATAATTATAGCTACATGCTTTATAAAAAAACGTGTTTTATGATGTATTATTTCTTAATATATTATTATGATCAATTATAATATGAGATTTATAATTAATTTATAATTTGTAATTTAACATGTAATATAAATTTCTTACGCATAATCGTGAATTATGGTTTAAAAAAAAAAAAAAAACTTTAAAATGTAAAAATTTTAATTATAGTATTATCATAAATTAAAAATATAATAAATAGAATAATTTAATGTAATAATGAAAATTTATTATACTTTACTATAGATATCCTCAAGTATTTGGACGAATATTAAATTGAAAAATTAAAATCTAAATTTGGTATAAAACTTTAAATAAATTAACTGATTAATTTTTTACAAAATAAGTAACGTTTTTTTTTTCGTTTTCAAAATTTTAAATATTAAATAAACGCTAAAATTTTCCATTATTTTGATATTACTTATTTTATTATCAACTAAAAAGATAATATTATAATAGGTATGCATGACAAAATTTTTATCAATGAAAATATCAAAATTTTTAAATCATGAAAAAAATGTGCAACATATTTTAAACTTATTTTCATATAAATAAGCTGACTATGGAAATTTAATTATCGATATTCGTAGATTTAAATAATATGTACTAAAACAAAATGGCAAATTAACATTAATAGAACCGAATATTTTTACTTAATATTTCACCTAATACCTTAATATTTTTATCCTGCTTTTCTATAAAATATTCAAATATATAATAAACTAAAAATACATTGACAAATCTTAGTGCTATAGATATGTTTAAAAATATGTCTTGATTAAGACATTTTATGATCTATTAATCTCCTTATTAATAATAAAATATATATTACAAATTATATAAATAGTAATATTATAAATTCTATAGAAACAAAATATACTATTTATCTTGTCTTAATATAATTTTCGATCAAAATTAATGACAGATGACGTATCGATTTATTTTCTTATCTTAATTATTAATCCCGATATATTAATGAATGCTTATCTACACAAATAAAAAAATTATTCTTTATATTTTATAAAATGAAAAGGAATGTAAAAAAAAAAATTTATTTAATTAATTTAAATATTTTTACGTTTACATAAAACTTATTACTTTTCCACTACAAAATTTGAAAAGCGTTCATTTCGGATGTATCAGTGATATGTGTAAACAATTATTATTTTTTTTTTATTATATTAAATTGTACTCTACATATAATTCTAACATTTATAAATTTTTTACTTTTAACTAATTTTTCAAATATTGTTAGCAATCATATTTTTCGTCGACTCTCCACGAGAATTGATTAATATAAATATTATTATATGTAAGAATACTGTATTTTAACACAAATAATAAATAATATATTATTGATAATTAAATATTGAAAAGAATGCATTAAACAAATGGAAACTCTATGTTGTATAAGCAAGTGAAATAAATTTAATTATACAGAAACGCGTGAGTTTTGGAGTAGAATAAGTAGAATACTATAGGATATGGTCAGACACCCCCGGCGGTTTTATCTAAGATTTTGTAATTGAGATTAATAGTAAATCAATGAATAATTAAAATTTTTTTTTTTTAATTATGATAAATTTGAATTAACTGAAGAATATAATTACACTGACGAATAATATTTTTTTTTTCACATTATCTAAAACGATATAATAAACAAATAAAGAACAATATTATTGGCAAATAAAGATTTCGATATATTTTAATCATCAATAGGGTTAATAAATAAGATTTTAAGAAATATTAATAATACGAGTAAAATTTTAATTCGAGGACGGTTCTATATTTTTCCGTTTTCTTCACTAGAGTATTCACAGAAATATTAATATTTTCAATTCTACTTTTGAATCTATTTTTTTTTTTTTTTTTTTTTTGTACTAAATATTAACAATTCGCCACTTATGAATTCATAACAAACTAATAACATCTCTTCACCCAAAAAGTTAGTAGATTATAATAATTTTAAAATTACCGTTTCAAAATTTTTTTTTTTTTAAAACTCGTAAAAATCAAATATATTATCTATAATAAATCATAATTGAAGAAAGATATTAAGATATTATTAAATTTTACACAACAAGAATTTAATTTAAAATTATTAACTACAAAACACCAAAATGGTGGATCTAATAAAGAGGTTTTGTTCTATGATCCGCCATTTTGAATGTACGAATTTTTTATTTGATTTTGTTTGGATTTGAATGAGATTTGAACACTGAAATTTTGGATTAATAAATATTTATTCTTTCTTAAATTATTAATATTTCAAAAATAATTATTACAAAAAATGTTGAAATTTTTTTATGTAAATTATATAAAAATTATATCAAGTAATTAGTATTTATTATTTTTGTGTTGGAAATTAAAAAGCAAAAAGAATTTTTATACACATATCAATAAAATAAACTTACTATTTGACTTTCTTATTTAAATTTAAAATGATTGTAAAATTTGTTAACAAAAACATGTTAAATGAATTATAATGCATTGGAATATTAAACATAAATAAAAATTGCAATTTTATTACTTCCAGGAATAATATTATAATTTAAATACTATACTATATATAAATATATTCAATAACAATAGATTAAATTAATATACAATTTTTACCTGAGTGTGATAAATAGCAGCAGCTGCTAAATGACTGTATGAAAACTTTAAACTTCCTTCGTCAAGTGTTGCTAAGTCTAAGAGCTGAGAAGCTTGTGAATACTGCAGTCCACCATACTGAGGGTAAATAAAAGTATTAGGTCTTGACCAATCACCAGATTCCACCTGCATGTAGACATTGAGCCAGCCTGGCGCTGTTACAGGTGACAAATTCCAACCAAGGCCTTTTAATACAACTAATTCTTTCCCAAGAATTTCTTCTTCAGTGCATGCACCATCAGTGACATATGCAAATTCTGCAATCTTTGGTGGATAAATTTCTTCGACCTAAAGAAAAATAATAATTGTTCCATTGTATAGTTTAGCCTACTAATGTATTAGTATAAAAAATAAATTCTCATCATACTTTAGAAAATATATAAGCAAGATTTTTTAAATATAAATTTGGAAATCAAAGTTACCTTTGCCGCAATAAATAAACATGTGATACCGATGAGTTGTAGCTGATTTTTCGGTACATTCTGATGAGTTGAAAGATACCTATCAATGTAATCCATGGCAAGGTAATAAGTTTCTCTATGTAATTTGTAAACTTCACAGACTTCAATTAACCAGTCTAATAAAATAGCTCTCATTCTGGGTTGTAATGTGGGATGCCTTTGAAACATTTGTGGATCTCTCTGGGTAACAGACTTTTGATCCCCCAAACACATAAGCGACCACACTTGTGTTCCATCGGCCCAAGGTAAAGAAGGTAAGGGTGTGGATTTACTATTTTCACTGTGAGAGGCAGATGGTGTTAGAAAACATGTAGATGTTCTGAGCTCTGACCATGTTGCTGGCTCTTGCTGTTCCTTAAGGGGTGAAGTTGTTGGCTGGGGTGTGTATGCTACACTTGGTGGATTAGAAATATTACATGTTTCTGGATATGTGCCATTTGATGACAATGAAGGCACTTTGTTAGGGGGATAAATATTCTCTGAATCTTCTGAGATTTCTGTTGCTCTTCTTTTACGTCTGTTACCCTTACCATTTTGAAGATGGAGCTTCGACTGCTTCTCTTGCACACTGAAACAATAAATAATTTTCTAATTTTCATTAAATACTACAATATCATAAGATCTGCAAGATAAATCAAATACAATTTTTAACAAAATTAATATAATATATTTAAATGATAATTTTATTATTGATGACTTAATAGCCAATAATTTAATAGCATTTAAATATTCACATTGGAAAATGTATATGAAATTTAATATTTTAGAGAAGTACAGTAACTCATCAGTTTTTCAGAAATAATTTATGAATATAAAGGAATGTAATTAAAATAATTAAAAGAAAAATCCCAAGTCTACATAATTTTATTTAAATCTATTATTTGCAAAATTAACAAAACTTTCTAATTATACTATATAAACACATAGTTGTATTTTATAATCTTTATATAATAGTGTATTCTTATATAATTTAAAAAATATTTATCAACTTGTATTAAATCACTTACATTCAAATAATAGATAGATAACTCAATACAATCTTATTTTATATATTATATTATAAAGCTTTTAGTATTTCTTAAATTATAATTTAATATTATGCATTAAAGATTGTAATTAAACAGATCAAATAAAAATTATCATATTTAAATGTAATAGAAATTGAAATGATTTTGTAAAATATTCATAGCCAATATATTATAACTAAATTAATAAAAAGAAATATTGGAGCAAGTTTGAATAAGCAACAGTTAAATTCTATTGAAATGAAATTTTTTAATAAACATTGTCCAATTTTTTTGCATTTACTATTTTTATGCTTTTATATAAAAACATTTTTCAACTCAAAGAGAAATTTAAATAATATATTTAATTATTCCAATGTAGTTGATATTTATTACTTAATTAGAGTTACAATAGTTATTGAAAATCATGTACTCCACAATAAGATAGGTTTCTATCAAAATAAAAAAAAAAAAGAAGAAAGAATTTCCTTGCATTATCTAATTTTTAAAAAAATCACATGTTATTAATTATTGAAAATGACATAAAACCTGAATTGTAATGATTATAGTAAATTATATATAAGAATTAAAAATTGGTACTTTCAATTTTCATAAATATATAAAGGTTTATGAATCTTATGATGAAAAAAATTAAAAATAGTAATGGCAAGATATTTTTGTAAGAAAATTTATTTGAGTTCAATTAATTTCTTTTAGAAATTAACTAAATCGAAACACTAATAACATTTTTAATATTTAAATTTATGGTCAATAATACTTATAATTTTACATATTACAGCTAAACATAACTTTTTGGCCTATTAAAAAACAATAATAATAATAGTAATAAAAAGCAATTATAAAAATAAAAAATCTATATTCTTAGAGCTATGTCTTTTTTAATTCTGTTTTTCCTATGCTCATGTTGTTCAAGGTAATGGTATAAATAAAAAGAAATAAAATAATAAATAAGTTAGAAAAATGAAGTAACAAATAAATAACATAAAAATTAAAATACTACCGCAGGAACTCTCATGATATCTACAAGTTGTGAAATCTAAAATTTTCATAAAAAAAAAAAAGAAAAATAAATTACACATAAGGATATATGAGATTTACATTTATAAAGAAAAATCATTACAGCACATATAATTATTTATATCTTATGGTTTATGGAGTATTAATTATTGGAGATGTACACATTTTTTTTTTTCATACATCTTAGGAAAAGTATCGATATAGGTTGTTCAGAAATATTGTTTAAAAATTAGCATTAAAGACACCAATATCCATTGTAAATGAATATAATAAATATAAAACATCTGCATAACGTGAGACTTTGGATATTAAAAAATACACACACACACACACACACACACACACACACACACACACACACAAAACAAACAAACAAAACAAGAAGCAAATAAATAAGAAAGAAAATGGGCTACTTTATAAAATTAAATAGTTATTAATGACTACTTGAAAGCTTGATGATCAAAGTCTCTTCGTCACTCACCAAGCTGGACCTAGAAATTAGAGCAAAAATTCTAAATAACGAGACTGAAACTTGCCGCATTATTTCCCAGTGTCATAATGCTTCGATTTACTGAAAAAGCAAGAAAAAAATCCAGCCACGATGAGAGATTAAAAAAAATTGCCAATCACGCAGTCATTCAAAGATATTTCCTCCCTCCTCCGAAGAGAAGGTTATAACCGCACGAGGCTCCGGAAAATCGCTGCTAAAGTCAGCATAAGGTCCACTAGAATCCCCGCTGAAGCATAATCCTTGGGAATCCAAGGGCAAGGGCGGAGCAAGGCCATAAAAAAAATCGCCAAAGTATAGTGGCGCATAAACCGCGCACTCTCACCTCGTTTGTGGCATCTTGCGGCCTCCGCGTTTCCGTGCCTCCGTCTCTCGTATTTCCACGTCGTCGGCAACTCCGACGCAGCTCCCCGTGGACGGTAGATTCCAGGCCGATCTGCGGCAGGTCCTCGAGTGCTCTGCTAGCTCGCGGGCGGAAAACGAGGCCGAAAAGTGCGGGACACGAGAGCTCGTCCGGTTGCCCTCTCGCGCTATTCCAGCGCCATAATGCAGCGGCAACTTCTCGCGCGCCTCTCCTCAAAGCCCGCGAAAGTTTGGCTCGCTTTTGGGCGGCCCGCCTCGACCCCCGGTCGACCGGCGCTCACCCCAAGGGCCGACCCTGGGCTTCGAGGCCCGGTTAAGCTCCTCTCCTCGGCGAGGCCGCGGACTTAAGGCTCGCGAACGCCGCCTTCGCCACGAGTATGCCGTGCGAAGCGCGGGAGAAGAGCGCGCGAAAAGCTACCCTCGAGCGACACACCGATCGCTGCTGCGTGTCGCGCGCGCGCTCGCGCCCTCTATATTTCCCGCATAACCTCAAACGGCGTTTTCCGATTTTCCGATTTTCCAAGTTGACAAGCGCCGGCGGGCAGCCCTCGGCTCGGTCCGTAATCTTCGGCCTTCGGCCCCGGTCCTCTGCCCCGGCTCCAGGAGGCTGTAAACGAGGGCGCGCTACGCGCCGCCGTTCGCTCCTCTCCGAGGGCGTTCCAGGACGACG